CTTCCTTCCTTCCTTCCTACCTACCTACCTACCTACCTACCTACCTACCTACCTACCTACCTACCTACCTACCTACCGTTTATTTGTCGATTTATCTATCTATCTATCTACCTATTTATCTATCTGTCTATTTGTCGATCTATCTATCTATCTGTCCATCTCTATCAATCAATCAACCTATCTATCTATCTATCTATCTCTACGTGGGTGTATTATATTCGGTATACGTGTTTCAAAGCCTTCACGTCTCGTCCCCAGGCGACCGAGGGAAGGGCAAAGCTACCGGACCATCTGTCACCAGAGAAACTTGGCTGACAGTATCATGAGAGCCAAGCCAACTCGAAAAGGAGACCGTTTAGGCGTGGGTTTAGGGGTTTAGAGTTCAGGGTTTGGGGCTTAGGGTTCATTGTTTAGGGCTTAGGGTTTAGTGTTTAGGCTTAGGGTTTAGGGGTTTAGGGTTCAGGGTTTAGGGCTTACGGTTCAGGGTTTAGGGCTTAGGGTTTAGGGTTTGGGCTTAGGGTTTAGGTTACCCTAATACAGTACAGAGAATATAGGAGGTATGTCTCGGGATTCGGGAGGCGGGGTTGAGGCCTTAGGGCCTACGCCAGCTTGAGATTCCTTTGCAGGGTTTCCCAAGTCAAGACAGGAGGCTTATCTTTACATCGTTTCAGGATGCTTGAGGTACGGAATAGAGTCAGACTGCCAGACTCAGCCTTTGAAATTGACGCTGAGAGTTATTCCGATTCGGGGCTCATGCATCCTTAGGTTTGTGGGCTTTTAGCTCTGGACAAAGGGCGACAACTGAGGATTTCAGGCTGGGGTTGTGCCGCGTGTGTCGGCGTCTGCTAGATTGACGAACGCAAAGGGTCTATCGATCGATCTATCTATCTATCTATCTATCTATACACATACTTCCATTGGGAATTTAGGCCCTAAAACTAAAAGACCATCCTAATAATGGTTTTATAGGCTGAGAAGCCTACTTTCAAAATCGTCGTGTATATGGATCCTCTTGGGAAGCGATGCCAGTGCGAGTCTGCCAGGATCTGGGTGAGTCACTCTTCTGGGGTCGAGTCCTAGAATCAGAAGCCCATCCAGAACGCTAAACCCTAAACCCCTGACCCTAAACCCGTAAACCCTAAAACCCAAAACCCCAAAGCCCCAACCGTAAACCCCCAAACCCTAAACCCTAAAACCCTGAACCCTAAACCCTAAACCCAAACCCTAAGCCCTAAAACCCTGAACCCCAATCCCTGATCTCCTACGCGAAATGGGCGACAACCCAACGCCCGCATGCCAGGAAGGCCTTTGGCTCCTACCTCTGCACTCCATGACCCTTGAGCGGCTTAGGGTTTCGGATTTAAGGTTTGGGGTTTAGGGTTTGAGGTTTGAGGTTTAGGGTTTAGGGGTTTTAGGGTTTGAGGTTGAGGGTTTTGGGGTTTAAGCTTTGAAGCGGCCAGGTTCACGGCTTTAGGGTTTGAGGTTTAAGGTTTAGGGGAATTATAGGGTTTAAGGTGGCCAGGTTTAGGGTTTACGATTTTAGGGCTTCGGGTTTAGGGGTTTATTGTTTAGGGTGGCCAGGTTTGGGGATTCGGGGTTTAGGATTTAGGGTTCAGTTCAATGTGGTGAAGTCTGATAGGTGATGAAGCATTTGTGATGCTCAGTGAAGCAGCCGTAGCAACTAGCATGGAAAGTAACGGCAATGTTTCGATAGATGTCACTGATAATGGGCTGGTAGTACGATTAGAGTAGTTTTTTGAATGTTTAAATCAAAGCAATGAGAGCAGGACGAGTGATACTAGGAGGAGGAGGAGATTGGCAGTCGTCGTGGTAGTCGTGGTCGATGGGGTCGTTGTGATCGTCGCAGCCGTCGCCGCCGTGCTTGCAGCAAACATTAAGGACAACAACACACATAGCAAACACTGCAGCTTGAAATCCCTTAAATGCAAGCACTTAGTCAAACTTCGTAAAACTCATACGCCAAGCCTTGCTCAAGCTTGCATATACTTGAAACAACCCCCAGAAGCAACTTTGAAGAGCCTAGAAGTCCACCAAATTCCAGAAGAATCCGAAAAAAGCCTTGTAACACCTCACAACAACGTGCAAAGAAAGACGTGTAACATGCACAAGAAACAGAGGCCTCAAACAACAACAACTGACAAAGCCCTTCTGAAGCCTCGGATCCCAAATCTTGCGCCTCGAACCTTAGGGGCCGAAGGGGGTGAGGGTCTAGGAGTTTAGGGAGTTTAGGGGGTTTAGGGGTTCAGGGGTTTAAGGGGTTTGGGGCTTATTCTTTTTAAAACCCTAAGCCCCAAACCTCTGAGCACCCTAAACCCTAAACCCCTTAAAACTCCAAACCCCGAACCCCTTTAAACCCTAAACCCTTAATCCCGTAATTCCCTAGGCCCTAAACCGCCTAAACCCACTAAAACCCTTAGGCCCTAAACTCGTTAAAACCCTAAGCCCTAAACCACGTAAACCCTTAAGCCCTACTCTCTAAGGGTCCATGTGCCCAACTGGTATATACTTTGGCCTTAAAAGTAGTCCCTAAAAAGGTACTCCGGGTCCAAAGTATATGCTATTTGGGTATATACCCTAAACTCTAAACCCTCAGCCCTAAACCCTAAACCCTAAACGGTGGCTTAGAGATTAGGTAAATCGCCGTAGGATCTCCGTCGCGGACCAGCGCTTGGTTTTCAAGCGCCCGCCCAGCGGAGCTCGCAAGGCGGAGCTTAAGAATTTAGGGTTCAGGGTTTAGGGTTTAGGGATGTCAAGTGGGTCGGTTTAGGGTTAGGGGTCCAAGGGTCTTTTAGGTTTTTGGCCTCTTTAGGGCTTTGCAGAAGAGCTCTATTGCGGGTCCTAGTGTAAGGCTTTAGGTTCCCAATTTAATATTCTGTTTTTGCTGCTTGTTGAAACAATGGGCGTCGGCGCAGCAATACAGATTTTTAAGGAGAGTCCTTTTCAGCACTCGCCTTGCGTACTTAAGATGCCATGAATTGTAGGAAGCACCCTATATGCATCCCTTCGAGCCCTGCTGACATGTGCTCTTGGTTGACACTGACAGTGCAATTATGCCTAACGGTAGCCGGAACCTCACCTCATCAACTATTTGACAATAGGTCTTGTGCCAAGCAGTCATGATCCCAGTCGCAGTTGAATCGAGTCGGGCAGGTGGTCATCACAACGAACATTGCAGAAACATCCATTACCATCGATGACGTGGAGTACGCAACTTGGCCACAAGCAGTTCGATTTTCTTCACCATTCCAGAACTCTGGTTTCACTTAGAAGCACAAAATCTCGCTTGTCATCTAGAGCCAACATTCTCGGCCAATTTGTCGATGGTCGA